TGATGATATCCACCGCCGGCGGATGGATTCATCAGGAACGAGCTCATTTTTATCACGACCGTTTCTCTTTCCCTTTTGACAACCACTCTCTTTTTTTTTTCTCTCCTTTTTCGAAACGTAACGCACTTTTCTTTCTTTTTTCTCTCTCTCTCTCGAATCGGTCGAGGAGAAAAGCGTTCGGGATTCTCCCTTTCTCGAGTCGAGTTAGTTTTTAATTCATAGAAGAGGAGAACACGGTGGTTCCATGTTGACGACGATATTCATCGAGTCGAGAAGCGGTAACGGAACACTGTAACAGAACCGCACTGCACTGTGGCCGACATCCCTCTCTCCGTCGGGGTGACTTTTTCGAGCGGAAGGGAAAGGGTGGCGACGCACACACACACACACACGCACGCACACACCACACACACCACACACACACACACACATATATACACACACACTCTTTGGCCAGTCTCTGGCGAAGGCGGAAAAGGGAGAGAGAAAAAGAGAGAGAGATAGAGAAAGAGAGAGAGAGAGAGCAAGGGGGAAAGGAAAAACGAGCGAAAAGAGCAAGACCACGGAGAGCAGCAGACTCCCGGTGGACAGCTGCTTATCCTCTCCTCTCCTTCCGCCACTTTTGCGATCTTCCACCAAGCTCCGCGGCCTCGTTCGCTCCTTCCCGCCCACCGGAGCCCAATTACCATACCACGTGACCGCGGCGGCGACCAATCAGAGCCGCTCCCAACCCGCGACCATGATGGATAGCGCGGCACGCATGCAACACGTGAGTGGCGCCACGGGAATCACTGCGGCAGGTGCACCAACTTCTCTCTCTTCGTGCGACGGGCCGAACACCAACAACTCTCGATTCCGCGCACTTCTTTTTTACTTTATAATAACAGAGAGTTCTCCCGATCTCCCGAACGCACAATTTCCAATCTCACTTCTTCTCTCTCCCCTCTTGATCCTCCCGCACACGGTCCTCGAAACACACTCGGGAGGAAATTGAGGGGGGAATTATAATATATTAATCCAAACGTTGGAAAAACGTTCGCACGGTTCGATCCCCGCCCCGTACCCCGTGTATGCGATCGCGTTGACGCGTATATATATATATCGAACGGATCGGAAAAATATCTCTGTTCGCACTCGGAACGACGACGAGGAGAAGAAACATCGGCCAACCCCGTCGGTTTAGCGGAGCCCCCGTCAGAAAGAGCCATGGGAAGCGAGCTCGGCCTGCCTCGGCAGAAACCCGCCTGGCAACTCCGCCAACTCTGTTCCCCGGCTCCCTTCCAGGTCGGACGAGGCCGGCTGGCTTCGAACCGCTCGCGGAGTGCCGGGGAATCCCCTCTCCTCGGCTCTTCGAGCCCCCCCCTCCTCGCGGCCGCGAGACCAACCCCTGCCACGGACAGCGTGGATCCCGTGCCCTTATGGGGCCACCACTCGAGGGTACGTAGAACGGGTATGTAGTCACTCCTACGGATCTCCTTAACCCGCCTCCATCCTCAAAATCCATCTTACGCCAGCTTGGTCAATGCTCGCCCCGATCGACCGTTTAGCCTTGTCGTGTTATTATATATATATGTATATACATATATATATGTATATATATATATCTGAGGGATGACTCGAGAGTCCGTGGGTAATTTTTCGGATTTTAGGATTTGTTTCCGCGTTGGAGGATGGAAACGGGGTTATCAACGGTTCGAATCGAGCCCATTGACGGGTAGCGACGATAATAATCGGGATACCGGTTGCGCAAGCCGGCGATCGTGTGTCGAAAGCAATGGCCGTTCTTTCACCGGGCGTGTTTATATTAGTGCTCCACAAGTGTGCACTCGGTGCACTCGGTCAAGTACGTCTACCGCGATCAGCTGCGTGGAGCAAAGCGCCGAGTCATTACACAAAGAGCACACTCACTCTGTTTTGCCTCGGTGTGCCACGACACTGTTCTCACAAGAGTTCTCGCTCCTCTTATAATATATATATACTCGATTCGCATTTTACTTTTACCTGGCTCGAGACCGTTATTATTAAGGATGGAAAATTTCCAAAATTTCTAAAGTTTCGTATTAAAGGCAAGATCGAGTGAATGCTTATACCATTTCTTCCATTGTTATTTATATATGTCTGGCTATCTATCCGAACAAGAAACGTTCGAATTATACAAAGACTATTCTCTAGGAGAGTAGAGGAAACTTGGAACGAGTTTTTCCCCTCTTTGGCCTTTCCTCCTCTTATTTCTAGTTTTCTTCTTACGGTCCACTTCTCGAGCTCGAGAACGGAACGCCACCTCGATGGGGGTTGCCGGACGGTTCCTGAAGGGTCTTGCGGATGACGTGAAACGAGGGGTGAAGAGGGTCGACGCGGACGTTGTCTTCTCGTTTTCGCGGCTCGAAACGACTCCTCCTCTTCTTCTTCTTCTTCTTCTTCTTCTTCTTCTTCCTCCCTTCCGGCGAAACACGATCAATCACTTTTCCCGGCCACGACACCCTCTCTCCTTTTACATCCCCCTCCTACACACCCCTCCAGTTCGTCAACGACGATTCTCCCCTTCTTCGTTTCCTCTTCCCCCCCTCTCCTTCCCGATGATGATGACGATTATCGCGAGAGATCGCACATGAGAGCCGTGCCACGTGTGCCAAGGGAATCAAGGGTGAGCTTTTCCTCCTCCTTCTTTTTGTGCCACTCTTCTGAAACTCGTTTGAAAAACAATGGATTTAGGGGATGAAACGCGACAAGATAATTGTGCTCACGAATAAATTATTCGCCAATTTCGAACGGTATAGGAATTTGAATTTTCCGTTTCTCTTATCTACCTACGAATCCTGGTAAACTTTGCTGCTAATCCAATGCTCAATTCTGAAAACTGGTTCCAATATCGAGCTCCATTTCCACTCCTCGTGGCAACTCGTTTCGATCGCAAAAGAGGAGGAAACGTCGATGATTTGCATCGACTCGAGAGAGAGAGAGAGAGAGAGAAAACGCTTTCCTCCCGAGTGGAAACCCGTTTCGATGGAATTTCCTCGGCCAAGTTTCGCAGCGGGCAGAGACGAGTTTCCGGCCGTGATATAATGATAAATGGGAACTCGCTAGTTTACGATTTAATATCAATCCACCCGGGCCCGGCTCCGCTTATTATCTGCCATTACGAAAGTTTTAATAACGCGATACGGGCCAGGGGTGGAGGAGGAGGGGGAGGAAGGGTGGTGGAACCGTCGCGATTTATCACTTTCATCGCTTTATTTACCGGCCTGTATTTACGCCTTTAACTTGTTGATCGTGACAAGATCGTAGATTGGCGGAAATTTTTTTTCTTTTTTTTCTAATTTGCCTCTTCTTCTAATTCTTCGATTATGGGCGGGGGTTTCGAGTATACGGACGTGGAGAATTCGTGGAGGAGTTTTGTGTATTTTAAATGTTGTGTAAGTGTTTGAATAAGGATTTTTGAAAAATATTTATCTCGCGTATCGAACGATGGATTTTACTTAAAATTTTTATTTTATTCTTCTAATTTGGCTTCTCTTTTTAATTATTCTAATTATCGATTAGTATATTGTCTATGAGAATTTTTGTAGACAATTGGCAGAGATTTGAAGAGGAAAATTTTTATTTATTTTTTTCTAATTTGCCTCTTCTTGTAATTCTTCGATTATGGGCGGGGATTTCGAGTATACGGACGTGGAGAATTCGTGGAGGAGTTTTGTGTATTTTAAATGTTGTGTAAG